CGTATAATGGAAATAGCTGCAAGGCGATTTAGAAGAGTATGAACTGGAGTTTTAAGTTTATTCATTCACATGTTCAGCACATTTTTATTCAGTGGCTATCAAAGCCTTGTTCTGAGCAAGGCACGGGGGTGAAGCTGTCAGTGAGTCACAGTCCCTTCGTCCCCTGCAGCCGAAGGCTGAAAGGCATCCAGGTGTCACAGCGCTTACTGATAAGTGTGAAATGGAGCCTACAGAGGGCTTGTGGACATCTCAGTTGTATCCTACATGGTTTAAGTGTTTAATAATAAATATTTCAAAGAAACCAAAGCTATAACTGGAAAATTAATTAAGGACTGTAAAGGTACTTTTAGAATTTTGAACTGGAGGGTACTGCATAATTCACATTAATGTTATTTTTAAAGAAACTATATTCAGTCTGAGATGATCTGCTTTACAATCTCAGCCCTACATGAGAAATACCTTGGGCGAGTCACAGCTTCACAGCTCCACCAGCCACTCTAGAAAGAGTTACTGATGCGCTGTGATGTGCTAGGCTGTGTGCCTGGAATGAAGAATAGAGATGGGTGTCGGAAGCGCTGTGTCCTTGAAGAGCTGAGGGTAATTAAAACTGCCCCCCCAAAAGTTGGAGCATTAAAACAAATAATAGGCGTGAGTGTGAGTACCACACTGTAAGAGGTGATGCATGTAAAGCAATAATAATACTCAGTTTTTGTTCACATTAGTGCTAGGTACCAAGAAAAGAGGAGAACAGAAATGTGTGGCTGCATGGACAACCCTTTGTAACCCATGCAGCGACTGAACCTATTCACTGTGGCTCCAGTCCCAGCAACAAAAAGGAAGGCCCATGCAAGGATCAGGCTCAGCTGCCTGGGACAGAGCTCCCTGAATAACAGTGGCTTAACCAGAGGATGTTTATTTCCCCCCGAAAACCAGTGAAGTCTGGAGGAAGGAGCACAGGCTCATTGTGGTGGCTTCCCAGTGGTTAGCTCCCAGACTCTGTCCCTCTTTCTCCTCCATGACCTCCAGGGAATGCCCCTCATCCCCATGAGGCTAGACCTGTAGGCATCCACATACATTCTAGGCGGAGGGAGGGAGGAAGGAAGACTGGTTACTAGGATGCTGCCAACAGTCTCTGTTTTGCAGAGAAGACTCCAACCAGGTCCTCCCTGCAGACTTCCTGCTTACCTGTCCACCCTGCCTGCCTATCTGGCACCTCCATCCACCCAGCCACGTAATCTGGGGATCATCCACAGACACTCTTATTCTCTCACCCCCACAGCCCATTGGTCGCTTGCAAGTGACAGCCCAGTCACATCTGGCCGAAGCAGAAAGGGATTTATAGGCACATGGTGATGAAGGGTCCTGGGGCAGGGTAAGCTTAAGCGGGCTTGGTCTGGGGCTCTGATGACATCACCAGGACCAGGTTTCTTTTTCCATTTATAGTTCTCTTGCTCTAGGCTCTTCCATGTGAGCTCTATTCTCAAACACCCCTAGCCGAGGGCTCCCAGACAACTGCAGCGGCAGCTCTAGACCTCAGTCCTCGCACATGCAAGACCAACATGGAGGAACAACTCCTTTTGCCCAGAAGATTCAATACCATTTTATTGGCCTCGGTTGGATCACCAGTCACTCTGGCCCCGGGGAATGGGATCCAATGACTGGTTGAGTCCTGGGTCATAGGTGGTGCCCCATTAAACCATATTAACTAGGAACAGGCAGGGGTGGGTCCCCAGGAGAGCAGAAGTACAGTCAGTGGGTGCTGGGGAGCCAAGAAATGACAACACAGTGCTCTCTACTGTCGTCATCAAGTCCTGTCGATCCCACCGCCTTTAACTCCCCTATTTATGCTACTGTCCTGCCACTAGCTTGGTTCAGGGACACAGTGACACCCTCCACACAGCTGCCCAGGGTTCCTTCTGAATGCAGACGTCCCTGGGCCTCTCTCCTAGTTGAACTCCCTTTAATGGGTCCTGTTGCCTGCTCCATAATCTAGACCTGAGGTCAGCAAACTAGTCCACGGGCCAAACCCGCTTTGCCACCTGTTTTTGTAAGGCCCATGAGCTAACAATGGTCTTTGTCTTCTTCAGTGGTTGAGAAAAAAATCAAAAGGTGAATGATATTTCATGACGTGAAAATTATATGAAATTTAAATCCACACTCCTTTCTGTTTCTACCGTGACCTACATATGCTGCTTTCATGGCTTTTTTAAAAATTTAATTTATTATTTTATTTAAGATTTTATTGGGGAATCGAGGAAGGGGAACAGACAAGTTGCTGTCCTTTTGTTCTTCAGTCTAGTTGTGGAGGACGTCGCTTCACTGGCCGTGTTGGTATTATCATTGCGCTCTTCCCAGGTGAGGCAGTCGGTCTCTGGCCATTGGACGGCTGCTCATGGCGGCTCACCGCAGCTCGCACCAGCTGCTCACACACCGGCTGCCAGCCACTCACGGTGGCTCACGGCAGCCCACTGCAGCCCACGCCATCGCCTGCGACTCACGGCAGCCCAGGTCTAGGTCGAGCTGTTATTCAGCATCTTAGCTGTAGAGGGTGCAGCATCACTGGCCCTCATGTGGCATCCAAACCGGGGCCCTGCTGCTCTGAGCTGGCACTCCCAAGCCAACTCTTAACCAACGCGCCACTCGGCCGGCCCTCATGGCTGTTTTTTTTTTTTTTTTAATCTGTAACATGGGTTTGCTTCAACGTGTCACGGTCTATACTAAATACTAAATCAGTCTTTAAGAATATTTGAGTAACAACATCTAGAGAGTGTCTGCCATGTTTAAGTAATGTGCTTGGCATGGACATACATCTCTGGATAAGAGCTTACTTACCCCCCTTCCCCAGCACCTGGAAGACAGTGAGTGGACAATAAATGTTGTTATACAAGTAAGTGGGAGAACAGGGTCTCGGAATCCATGCAAGAGCCGTGAATAGCTTCAGGTGGTCACAGCGAGCCGCACGTGTGGTCAGCTCTGAGACATCTCATCAGTTCTCTTGGTGGCTCCTTGGGTGGAGCCAGGCTGGGGAAGAGGGCTGACAGGCAGGGTTGGGGTCAGGCTTTGACTTCCTCTGCCTTTGAGCATATTATGACTGCTGCTCCTTCTGCTACACTAACAGTTAAATAAATGGAACAGGTAGTGACAGTGAGAAGCAATTGTGGAGTGCTTTGCCAGTAGACGGTGGCACAGAAAAGTGAAACCACGCTCACCCAATGAGATGTGAGGTGCAGTGAATGAAGACGTGTCGCATTCAACAAGGTCAGCGGTGCTCGCCTTAGGGCCTTTGGCCCTCAGGCCTGTTTCTGTGCCACAGGTGTCCCCTAACTCCTTTCCTCCCGCCTTGTCTTCCAGATGCTCAATCTGTTTGTGGCCGTCATCATGGACAACTTTGAGTACCTGACTCGGGACTCGTCCATCCTGGGGCCTCATCACCTGGATGAGTTTGTCCGTGTCTGGGCAGAATATGACAGAGCTGCATGGTGAGTAGGCCTCTGGGCCAGCCCAGCGGGGCCTGTATCAGGGGCCGCTCAGTTCTCAAGGAAGAGGTTGGCATTGGAGCCCCCCAAATGCTTGCCTGTGACACAAGGAAAGGAGATTCCTCTTGCTTGGAGCCCATGGAAGAGGCCAGGTCCTCAGAGTGGCTCCGGTATCAAAGACCTACCTTCTTTACCTTCCTTTCCCCTCTCGTTCCTTCTGTGACAGGCCTTCCCTTTCTTTGCCAATCTCATCACACAGTCCACACCTCAGAGTGTTTGGGTTCAGTCCCCCAGAGGAGCTTTCAATAATCTCTTCTTTTCCTGCCCAATGGTTTAGTGGACTCCTTTGAGTCACCAGGGGGGATACAAGGGTTTTCTGGGCCAGTTGGACGCCTGGCCACCATGGTCAGTTGACAGTAAGTGTTTTGTGTCTCTCGTCCCTCTCAAAAGGTACAGTTTGAGATAACTCTGAAATTATATAAAAACCCAAGCAAGTTGTTCTTTCGACTGATCCTCGAAACACTTGTGGATTTTTATTGTGTGCAGCTGAGTTAAATGTCAGGAATTTGTGGGGGATAAGCCCCCAGGTCTCGTTCACTGTCCAATAGTTCTCCAGCGATGTTGTGCCCTCTGGGCTTGAGAGCAGGGGTTGGCAACCCTCTGAAAAAAAATATAAGAAGCGCCATGCTTCGTAGGAATGGGCCACGTTGCTTCCACCTGGAACCCCTTCATAATCTGAGACTCTTCCCTAAATTTATCCTTCTATGAGGCTGTTGAACTTGGGTCACTAGTTTATGGGTTAGAACTGTGAATCAGAATTCCTCTTCCCCTCAGGAATCAGTCATGACTTAGGGCACAGAGTTCTCACATCCATTCCTGTTACAGAGGCTGAGCAATGGCTTTTACTCTCTGGGCTTCCTTTCCAGTAGACAGGCTGCTTAGAGAGCACTGGGTGGTGTGTTAGAGGGACTGCAGCCAGGCCTGCGTCTGTCAGCTCCATGGCCTTGGACAAGTCACTGAACCACTCAGCTTCCTCCTCTGTGAAATAGAGATAACGATACCTACCTACCTTGAAGGCTGGTGGTGAGGATTAGATTAAATCACGTGTGTAACTGTTGCTATGATTGACAATAGCCATATGGGAAAGCTACTGGAATGTATGCAAAACCGGTCTGGAAAGCATGGACGGCCACCGGAGGGAGGAGGAACCAACTGCTCGCAAAGGAGTCCCATGCTCACCCAGCCTCCGTGGCTCTCGGAAGCCCCAGCTTCCTGTGGTTTCACATTATCTTGGAACCCAAATGCCATGTGCACTAAACATGCCCTCTCCTCCCCCTACCCCCACCCCCCCACGAGACTCTCTCTCTCTCCCTCTCCCTCTCTCCCTCTCCCTCTCTCTCTCCTTCCGGCTCCTGGGAAGAAACGATTCCATGAGGACTACTCATGAGACTGAGACACACGAGCTGTGAGGAGAGCAAAAACGGAAAGGAGAAGCTCTTTTGTCCGCTTTGAAATTCATAGTGTAACCTGTTCTGGTTGAGTTTCACTGGCCTCCTTTGTGAGGTGAAGGGGGGCGTGGGGTGGGGGTGGGGGTCTCATAAAGATACAGTGAGCCAGTGTCTTCAGAAAGAAGACTGATCCAGGGTACAGAGACCATCAGCCTATGGACAGCAGCTCCAACCCACCAACGTCCCAGTCTCAGTAATAAAACAGAAGAACAAATGGTTAAATGACCTCCGCTCAAGAGTTCAGAGACTGGGTGGTACTGATGAGCTGCTATGTGGAAGAACAGGAGGAATCAACGCCGGGAGTGAGAAAAGGACAGGAGTGAAACTGGGGCAAAGTCCTAGTCTCCCCATGGCTACGGGTGAGGACTGGTGCTCGGAGGTGGAGATGCGTGTTTATAATGTCCAGTGGACACTCTGGTTCAGACCAGGATGTGTCTAGATCCCTGGCTGTTACTTTCTTGTCCTGGCAAATCGATTAATTCTGTCCTTTCCACGAGAAGCCAGAGCTCTCCAGTGGGAAAGGGGGTTGGTACGATGGGTCTCATTGTTTCTGGATTTCTGTCTGGATCACCCCAAGCTGCCTGTGAGCTGGGTGGCAGGAGTGGAGCTGGGAAGAGGACTGCTCTCTGAACACAGGTCCCAGCGGAGAAGAGCTTGCCCAAGTCTCAGTTCAGGAAAAAAATCCACCTCAAAGAGAAGCACAGCCCTTTGCAAATTTCCTGGTGCCAACTGTGCTCCTTGCTAATTAGCCTAATGGGAAATTTGTCTCTCGCCGCCTGCAGAAAGACGCTGACTTCCCACAGCCGCCCAACAAGCAGATCTGAGAGGAACTGACTCTGGTCTGTGTCTGCGAAAAACAAACAGTCTTGCCATCCACTTCACGGCAGCCTGGCATCTGCCCCTGACAGCGGGCAGAGCATTTGGGAATTGGCAGTTCTTCAAGGCCTAGCTTGAGCTGCGGTCCATTTTATACATCTGGCCAGGGGTGGGCCAGATAGGTATCTTGGGGTGATCTTGTCATGCAACAGTCCCCTTGGGCATTTGACGAGCTCGGATGCCTTGGAATACTGGGGTCAATGCAGTTCTCAGGGTGAGGCCTCTCTGACGGTCCCTGTTCTTAGCCTCTCCTGATCTGGCTTTGCCAGGCCCCATGAAAGAAGCTGCCCTTCCTGTCCCAGCCGTGCCCTTCACGGCTAAGCTGTCACTTCTTTCCCACCTTCTCTGAGTGTCCTATTAACCCACTTCTGCTTCCTTTACAGTGGCAGGATCCCGTATAAGGATATGTACAAATTAGTGCGGGTGATCTCGCCGCCTCTGGGCCTGGGAGAGAACTGCCCCTACAGGGTGGCTTGCAAGGTTTGCCTCCCAGCCCCCAGCCGTGCCTGGCGGTGGGGTGCAATGTGGAACCCCTCCTCTGTTCTGCTCCACCACCACTGTGCCACATGAGGGAACCTTCATGCTACTTTCCTTTGAGTTTAAAGAGGTCCTAACCCTCCCAGAACCAGCAGCTGTCACACAGGAAGAAGGGCACGTTTCGCGGGGAAGATAGAAGAGTTACGGACTCAGTAATGAAGGCCCACTTTCTTCACATGCACACACTCACCTGTGCGTGCACACACACATTCTCTCTCTCCCCACTCTACCTTCATCTATAGGTTTAACCGGAGGGACCTCTCCCTCCTCCAGACAGAAATCTTTCATCCAGGAAAGAGCCCTGGTTTCCCTTCACTGGACTCAGACACGCCTCCTGTTAGCAAAACAGCATCATCGTTCCATATATAATGTAGCACAGTGTGATCTTAGCCACCCCTACCTCTGCCTGCCCTCCAGCTCCTGGATAGCTTGGCCAGAAGCGACTGTAACAGCTACAGGAAGAAAGGGGGTGAGAGGAGGGAAGAGAGGATAGCTTCGGTGTGTGTGAGGAACCGCATAGGTCTGAGGGGCTAGGGAGGTCACAGCAGAGGACAGAGGGCCCCCGGGCAGATTTCTTGCCTTAGGGTCCCACCGTCTGTTGTTGAAGGGGCACAGGGGTCTGTCATAACTGCCGAGTCACTGCTTGGTTATGAGACCAAGGACCCGTTCAGAGGCACATAGGACCTCCCCCTGACCAACTCTGCTAGACCCTGGGAACTCTTAACATCCCAGTGGTTCTGCCAAGCCGCCATCCGAGGCCAATCCCCCTCCATGGGGAAGCCTCTCCTGGGGCTGCAGAGGGAAGCCAGCCTGTGGGCTCCTTGGGGCCCAGCCCAGCTCAGCGGCTGGAAGCCGTAGGCCCAGGAAGATGCGGGCCTAAGCTGGCTTGGGATGGTGCTGCAGTGATTCCCGTACGCGGGAGGCTGAACAGCTGCCTCTGCTGAGACTCTTTAAACTTGACCCTGGTGAAACCTGCAGCCGCATGAGGGGAGAGCTGGGGCGGGCAGCATGGCATGCAAGACGCTCGTCCTCCTCCTGGCTTTGTTTCTTCCGTCCCCAGCATGCCATGGCCCAGGGGCACGCTGGGGAGTCAAGAGCCGCCTTCTCCACCGAGCCAGGTGGAAGCAACGGGGTGACTGACAAGCAGCCACGGCCTACCACTCACGTCGCCGCCTGCTGCACACACAGCACAGAGGGATACACGGCGTTGCGCCTGTGGGTTCAGAGCAGGAGAAAGGCCTGACTGCCGGGCTGGCGCCTGGAATTCTCCCCCATGGCTGGAGCGCCGTCTATCCGGTTTATACCAGTCGCACACAGCCCTGGGAATGGAGAACATGCTCGTGTTGTACGGGGGCGAGGGCATGAACAGGGAAGGAGGGGAATGCCAACCCAAGAGGCGAACACAGGCGAGTCTCCGTGACAGTGCACAAGAGGGTCAGAGGGACCACACAGGGGTTGCCACCAGCGTTCCCGGGTCTGTGTGGGGCTGCTATAAATCCACACCAGGACGGAGTCACCTGTAGGATTTGCCTTGATTAACAGGTTTCCTATTCTTTTCCTGTTTGTCCATTTGTTTTCTTTTCTTCCTCTCCTGGTTTCTGTATGATTTCGTTTGTTTTGTTTTGGCTCTCTGGGAATGCCTGTTCTCCTCTCCTACCTGTTTGCATCCTTCTCCCGACCCCCTTTCCCTCCCCCTGCCCCCACTTACCACCCCTCCATGAGCAGCGGCCGCATCCATTACACTGAGATGTATGAAATGCTGACTCTCATGTCACCACCGCTAGGCCTCGGCAAGAGATGTCCCTCCAAAGTGGCATATAAGGTAGACCACCCCTTCCTTCGTTCTGGGCTAAGGACCAACAGAAAGTGGGATCCCTTTGCGGGGAGGCCAGAACCTGGGGAGGAAGCCGGGCTGGGGAGGCGGAGGAGGGGACCAAGGAAAAAGGAAACGAAGCGGAACGTCAGGAAGGGTCCCGGAAGGATGACATCCTGAAATGTACCAAGGATGGTTTGCAGTGCTACCCAGCACGGGGGGCTTGTTTGTTTTTTTAACGTGTCATTCTGTGTTTAACGACAAGTGTGTGGCTTCTTGTGAGCGGGTCCTAGAAAGGAAGTGTTAAGTAGAGCGTTTGCTTTTAGAGGCGGCAGAGTGGTGGCCTACAGGGCAGCATATGTGGGCGAGAAGGCAGCCTAACATCAAAACAGTTATCAGAACTTATTAAAAAAACAATAAATAAAAAAATACACACCTCCAATCAGATAAGTTAAGGAAATAATGCAAAAATTGCTCCACACATGGTTCAAGAAGAAACTTTTAGGGGAGAAGTCTTAACAAATTCCTTCCATGACACAGGAAGGAACGGTGGCATGGCTCCTTCTAGGTGTCAGGAAAAAAAGAGGAACATGACCTGTAGTCCATGACATGTGATAAAGGATGCAGCTCCCTGCCCACACATGCCCAGCTACCCGGTTCTCTTGGCTGCACCAGGGAAAGGGTGACGGTGGGCCCACGTGGCATTCAGGATTTAGATTTCCCTTCTTGGCGTGACTGAGTTATGGGGCCCGGCCCTGAGCTACGGGTGGATCTCGCCTGGTTTGCACAGGGCAGCATTGTCCACTGGGAGTCACCTGCCCTTCGGGTGCTCATAGCTTTGGGGCCTGCATTTTTTTCCCTCCATAATGAGTAATAGTTGCTGTTAATTCCCCATTGGTGTTCAGACTGACCCAGAACTTGGGCGCTCTTTCACTCACCTAAGAATCCACCACAGCAATGTCGCCACTTCTCCAGAAGCTTAAGGAAGTGGGAGAGAGATGGAGCTGGTTTGACCCTGTAAGACGCCATGTCTGTGGCATCACGTTAGGCAAGATGTACCAATTGCGTCTTAGAGATCCTTCCCTGGAAGACAGACATCCCTCCCTGCTAGGCTGGTGGTTCTGCCAGAGGACCTTCTGCTACCTGCAAGCTGCATAGCTCCAGGCGGCATCTCATTGGAATGGCCCCATTGGGGACCCTCATCCACCCCCTTACATGGCTCCTCCTACGCAGCTTAGGGGCTGGCATCCCTTTTTGCTCATCATGGCCACATCCAAGGGTACCAGATGGTGGCATGTGGCCCTGAGTTCTTTGAGTTCCTGGGATGAAGCTTGGGAAGAGGAGTGTGGGGGCTGGAGGAAAAGTTAAAGAATTCCAAAAGCAAGCTACTCTCTGGAAAGTGGATTTGGCCATTTCAGTTTGATCCCTTCCTTTGGGTGAGGGGAACAAGGCCTGCCCACTCTGCTCCTGCCTTGTCACCCTTGTCTCATTCTCTGTTCTCTGCTCCCCCAGCCTCCTCACCGCGACCCTGTTTGCACTCTCCCCTTTTCCACCCTGCTCCACCTCATCCATTGGATAAGCTGGACTTTTATGCATGTTCGATCATGTGCTGGCAAATTTCATCCTTTAAAAGACTCAAAAAGGGGGCATCAGGATGTATCTTTCAAGTCAGATAAGCAAAGCCAAACCTCCCCCTCGCTGTCTTTCCGTCTGAGTTTTGGGGTGTTCACCGGACAGGTGGAAACCAGAGTGGCCTTGAAACAGGGAGTGGAGCCACCTCCCAGAGTGGACTCCGTTCCCTGAGCCACATGTTTGAGAAATCACTTCCCATCCCAGAGAAAGACATTCTTGGGACCCTGGCGGAGTCCTAGAGAATGATCAGCCCCCCTCCCTTGGAATTTGGCATCATTTCCTGGGGGGAAAAAACAAAAAAAAAACAGCAATGAGCCTCCAGTGAGAAGTAGGGGAGTAGGGCTGAGGGGTGGAGAATCCGTGCCCTTCTTTTTTGTCTCTGCATTTGACCTCTGCTCTTCGCATCCCTTCTCACCAGGGTTCCTTTTGATACGTTGTTTTTCTCCCACTGTTTCTTTTCTCTCTTTCACACAGAGGTTGGTCCTGATGAATATGCCAGTAGCCGAGGACATGACCGTCCACTTCACCTCCACCCTAATGGCTCTGATCCGGACAGCTCTGGACATCAAAATTGCCAAAGGTGAGCTAAGGAAGGAGAAAGCGACACGTGCAAGACGGTGCAGGGCGGAGCTGTTTGCACTTGCATCCCTCTAACAATGCGGTGACCTGGAACTCCAACATCAGCGTCCCTAGTTTCACCTGTGTGACTCGGTGACTGTCACATTGGTCATTTCCTCCTGGTAAAATGAATGGTCTGATCATCGCCAGGTCTCCTTTCAGCTTTACCAGTATGTGATTCTCAGTGTCTGGTACTGAGTAGGCATTTTAGAAATATGTGTCCATTGAACAAATGAGTTTTAATGGCCTTTTTCCGTATGTGGCATCTTTACCGTCTGGGAAGGCTTCTGTGGCAGGTGCTCTTGTTGTGGTGCTCGGTTCCTCTTGATGTCTAACTCTTATTTAGGAGAGAAGAGGTTTATTGCTTCCAGATGGGCCTCCAGCCTTCCTGCCCTTGCCTGATCCGAATTCTTTTTAAAATCAGGTCGCTCTGGCTATGGAGTCAAGAGTCGCTGGAAGAATGGATGGTCGTAGAAAGAGGCGGGGGTGGCCCCCTGGTGGCTCTTTTCACTGTCCCCTCTGACATATGGTACACCTGGGAGGCTTTCCCTACAAATGAGGAAGCTGATCTCGGTCTTAGGGCCTCAGATCTTAGTGGCAAGCTATCCCTGAGTCACTGAAATGGGAGCCAACGTATGTTCTGCCTCTTCAGCAGAAAGACCCAGCCCTGCAAGGTCCTCTGTCGCTAAGTGCCAAGGCTTCCTCTGCGAAAGAGTCGTCCTGCTGGGTCAGCTCCTACCCTCACCTACTCCCTCCATCTTTGTGTGTCCTGTTTATTAGTCACTTATCTTATTCTAGGGGGTGCTGACAGGCAGCAGCTCGACTCGGAGCTCCAGAAGGAGACCCTGGCCATCTGGCCTCACCTGTCCCAGAAGATGCTGGACCTGCTTGTGCCCATGCCCAAAGGTGAGGCGCCTCTTCCTGGGGATCCCTGTCACTGTGGGTCCAGCATACTAAGGCTGTATCTTTGGGGGCAACCCAGAGTGATGAAGGGGATAAGGGAAAGTGTTCTATGATCCTTAGGACACTCAAATCGCTCTCTTCCTAAGTCCCTTCTGTCGTTATTAATTGAAACCATTTTCTCCACGTGGGTCACTGTGGTTGCAGTGAGGGTGCATAACTTTCTCCCTCCACATAACACTGTGTAGCAAACCTTCGTACATTTTTGGAAAAGGGTGTTGTTATTAGAGGTGGGAATCTAGACCAGTGGAGGTGATGCTTACTAAGGTGTCATCCTCCTCCTTGGATGGCCATGGAAGCTCCCTAAGCACAGATATGGGGACCTGTTTGCTTGGTATCCTCAGTGCCTGGCATGTACCTGCTTCAGAGGGTGGAGAACAAAGCTTTAGAGGTGTCCTCAGTCTCCCCTCCCCCCCATCTTCTCTCTTTCCCTTCCATGCCACATTTGTGTTTTTCAGCCTCTGACCTGACTGTGGGCAAAATCTATGCAGCCATGATGATCATGGACTACTATAAACAGAGTAAGGTGAAGAAGCAGAGACAGCAGCTGGAGGAACAGGTGAAGGTCAAGCAGCATGGTGGGTGGGCCAGGCTGTGCATCCCTGGGGCACAGTGCCCTTCAAGTGCTTAGCAGCAGAGGTCAGGGGTACAGGGCCCAGGAACTAGGGCATTAGGAGCTCAGTGGGCCTAAGGTTGAACAAGGTATCAATCATGTGCCTTGTATTTTACCCAAGTAAATTGCACTCCCCCCCGCAGTCATCTGAGTTCTTTTGTTCTCCTTCCACTTTTAACACAGAAAAATGCACCCATGTTCCAGCGCATGGAGCCCTCCTCTCTGCCTCAGGAGATCATCGCCAATGCCAAAGCCCTGCCTTACCTCCAGCAGGACCCCGTTTCAGGCCTGTGAGTAACACCAAGGGGCCCACAGCTCCCCGGCCTGCGTTCTGTCCCGTGTGCCGTTGTGCAGGCTCAGAAACCCATTACCTGGAAGCACCTAACACAGAACACTGACTCGGAGCTGAATGAGAGTTGTGAAGACGTTTTTGTATCTTTAAATGGTTACACGCCAGGAGTGAGAGAAATGCAGACGGAACATGTTTAGTGCAGTGCCAGCTAGAGAGACAGCTCTGGGCATGGACAGGGAAAGAGGGGTCTATATTAGGATTGCCGCTTTACAAATGAAGAAGTTGGCGATGTTCAATAAGTGGCCGCAAACCAGATGGCTAGCAGGCAGCTGAACTGGAAGCTAAGTCAGTTATTTCTAACTCGAGTCTCTCCACTCGACTGCGATACGTGAAATGAACAAAAGAAATCTTAGACAGGAAAAAAAAAAAAACCAAAAAAACCAACTTTATTTTCTATATTGGCAATGGAAACAAAACTCTAAGGAATTTGCCAGTTCTTCTGAGTTGCAAGTCTTAGCCCCCAATTTGGCCATTAGTCATAAATGATTAGCATATACACATCTCATTGTAACCTTACCTTTCTATCATCAGCAAGAGGGTACTGAGTACCCAAGGGCATGAAGGCCCTCTCCCCAATGTAAACAATTTTTTGTGATTGTGTTTACTTTAGTCCTTCACCATGGAACCAATAATCACTGTCACACCTTCAGTAATGATCAGGGGAGTAAGACCTCTGACAGAAAGCCCTTTAGCATCACACACCATTTCTTTCTGCCTGTGGTGTTGGGGACCCGTTGTGAGCTCATAATCCAACACATCTTGGAAGAGAAGGCCCAGAGTCAGGATCAAGGCCATCAGTCATTTTTACAAATATGTGATGTTATGCACTCTCCAGTCGACAGAACTGTGCAGGAAGGAGATATGACTGCAGCTGTGGGCCACCTCACTGGAAGGGTTTACAGTGTTTTTCAAGGGTCCTTGGCTTAGAAATGGAGGACCACCCCCCACACTCAATCTGTTTTATCCACAACAACTTGCTATACAAATTACCTTCCACCATAGGACTGCTCCAGCTTCTCTCCCATGTTTGTTGATTCATTTCCTTATTGATGTGACCCAAAAGCCAGCTCAGGCACTGGAGATTTAGTAGGCAACATAATCACAGTCCCCATGGAGACAGATCTTCAAAATGAAATTACAAGAGTGATAGAGGGTTAAAATGCGGAAGGCCAGGCTATTGTGATGCCCTGTAAATAAAGGAAGTAGGCACCTAATTTGAGGGTTTGGGGAGGCTTTCCTGAGGCAGTAGTATTCAAGTGAGAGGCAAGCTCTTTGAGAGGGGAGAGGCAGTGTGGTCAGTTTAAGGAATCTAAAAACTAATTGGATGGTTCGAGCACAGAGAGCGCTCAGGGAGGTGATGAATGTGGAGAGCTGCACAGGGACCAGGACATAGCAGCATTACAAGCAAGATACAGAAGTTCAAGTTCATCCAGGGATAATGGGGTTTTATCATCAGGGTGACATGATCAGATTTGTGGTTCTCAAAGATCTTCGTGAATCCAGTGTGGACTCGGTGGATTGGAAGGGAGCAATTCGGGAGATGACACACCAGTTAGTAAGTGACTGCACTTGTGTGAATTATTAACTGTGGCTTGGACTAACAGATAGAAATGGGGAGAGAATGAATGGGATTGGGTGATTGATTTGCTACATGGAATGAAGCAGAGGGAGGAGTCAGACACGACACTCAGGTTTTTGGTTTGAGCCTTTGGGTGGGTGTTGGCACATTTCCTGAAATGGGGACGCTGTTGGAGCAGCAAACTGCTTCCTCAGGACTAGCTGTGTTTCTAGAGGTTTGTGTTATTCAAGTAGAGCAGCGGTTCTCAACCTTTCACAGGGGTCGCCTAAGACCATCGGAAAACACATATTTTCGATGGTCTTAGGAACCGAGACACCGCTCCTCTATCAGTCTCCAGGCCCACATGCAGATACGCCCACATCCGAGTACCCGGCGACCCCTGTGAAAGGGTCGTTTGACCCCCAAAGGGGTCGCGACCCACAGGTTGAGAACCGCTGAAGTAGAGGCTGTTCAGAGCGTACAGTGGTGACGATGAAAGACAGGGCTGTTCCCTCATGAAGCTTAAATCTGGTGGAAAACCAGACATGAAACAATTAGAGAGGAAAAAAATGATCATTTTCAGCGATTTGATTACAATTCTCATAGGAAGAAACAAATGCGGTATGATCTGAGCGCATGGGCTATAGCAGAGATTTCCTTCAGGAAGTGACTTTTGAGAAGAATTTGGAAGGATGAATTCAAAAGAACATGGGATGAGTTTTCAAGGGGGCTTGGGAGTTGGAGAGAAGCACTTTGGGGCCAGCCTGTATTCAAGTCTTGAAGCAGGAAGTAGCCTGGCACATTCAACAAACTAAACTAAAAGAGTCCAGCATGTCTGGAATTCAGGGGGAAAGTGATGCAGGCAAAGGCTGGTGAGGCAAGGGCCAGATCAGGAGAGAGAGGCCATGTCCAGGATTCTGGACTTTAACAACAATGAGAGGCCAATGTTTTTAAAGAAAGTAGATGGTCACTCTGGGTGCAAAGCATTCAACTCTATGAGGTTGTTCAGTAATGCCCAGGGTCCACATCCCTATGGAGGACACTCTTTATGGGTAATTATTTTCTGTAGAACAAAAGGGAACCCATTTCTTATAATAGCAGTGCTCGTCTTCTTCCCAGCGGTTCTCAGGAGAAGCCACACTGAGAAAGATGACTGACCTTTTACGTGAGTCATGAAACTATCAGATCACCCTGTAGCAGTCGTGAAAATTCAGCTAAAGCCCTCTGTGGGAGCAATGGAGGGGGGGGGGCGGGGGGACAGGTTGGGCGATTCTGTTCTTCAGATCTTTCCATGATCCCACTCTGAGTAAGATCACAGCTGTAGATTATTTTGTAAGTAACTGGCAATCCTTGCTCAGGCTTGAGATTTTCCATTGGGGTCATAGCAGTAGACTCATCAATGAAATGGCTCTCTCTGGAGTGGAAGACTAGCCCCATCACCACTGAGAGAGCTGCCGCCACTCACTGCCTCTCTTCCCAGGAAGCTCAAAGGGTACCCTGGAGCAGTAAACGGTGGCAGCAGCCAAAGTTTTAGGAAAGAGGGGTGCCTTCGTCTCCTACCAAGCCCAGTGGGTCTCACTGTCTAAGAGTGTCTGCAGGTACCTGTGGTTTAATAACAGGCATGCTGTGACAGCTCTCCATACCTTTCATTCAGAGCCTCTAAAGACTTGGCCAACTTTCTCCCTGTCCTTGTCACCTTAGCCATCAACCCAGAGGGGGTCACATCCTCAACACGACCTCTGACATCATTCTGCCCAGTTTCTGGCACACACACGTCATAAATGCTCATGGCATTGAATTGTTTAGTTTGGCCAGGGGTGTTGGCACAATAAAATCATATTCTTACTGAGAGAGGAAGAACTTTTTTAAAAGACCATGACTGCTTAATATTTAAACAAACTGTTCGCTGTCTATGGCATTTTTCCGCCGAATGGAGAAACTGAGGAGAAACAGGTTTACAATCGAACTTTGGTCTTCCATATGGCTGAGCGTGACAAATGATGTCATTTGTCACAGATATGTTAGTCACCAGGAGGGCGATGAATGGCTCCAAGTGCAGTTGAAAACAATGCCTTCTCTTTTCTGGTGTTTTTTTTTTAATTTTTCTATTCTAGGGTCAGCCATGACTAAAGGGTGTTGCCCTGGGCGGGACATGGTAGTGGCAGCCATGGCATGTCCCTTCCTTGCCCATGCACGCATTACCTGTGAATTTGGCATTGCTTTCCAGGAGTGGCCGGAGTGGATACCCTGCGATGAGTCCGCTCTCCCCCCAGGAAATATTCCAGTTGGCTTGTATGGACCCAGCCGATGATGGACAGTTCCAGGAGCAGCAGTCTCTGGTGAATGAATGCGTTACATGACTTCCAGATAGTTCCCTGGTTTACTGATCCCGCCCACTCTCAAATTTTCTTTCATAGCCACAATCTGTCAGGAAAACGCTTTCTGAGAGTCCCACCAATTACCCTGGGCGTTTCCTGCTGTGTCCCTTTCATAGCTGAGTTTCTCATGTTCATTGACAAATGCTGCCTCTTTAGGCCTGACAACCCAGAGGCCCCTTATCTGCTAAAGGAATTTAAGTCCTTGAGCAGCAGAAAATCTTGCCTTTGATAAAGCTCTTTTATCAGAAGCTTGGGGAATGGCTTGGGGAAACACAGGAATGCCCTGCTGCCAACCCAGAAATGATGGCCGCCTCCTGCAGAACTCGGGTAGTAACATGGCACCAGGAGATGCAGAAGCAGCTCTGGGCTTCTACTCTGTGTGGTTCAGGCAAATTGGCCCTTTTGGTCACAATCCTGCAAGGTCAAATACATTCTAAGAGATCCCTAAAATCACTTTCCTGAGCCTAAAGTTTTTCATTAGCATAGATGGTAAAATTCCTGAGAAATCGATTGAGTCCAGTTTAAGCTTGAAGAAGAAAGGACAGATTACATTTTAGGTTTTGCTGATACAAAAAGCTAACCTGCAATTCCCAAAGATAACAGACTTTACTGACTATTGGGTTGTTGGAAAAGTCATGATTCATTTTTGCAACGAAAAACATAGAAAAAAAACATGTCATGACTTTTCCGACAACTCAATGTTATTCTTAGTTCAAGAGCCATGAGATCAGGTTCCCTCCCGAGCTTAGAATTAAAGTCCAAGTGTTCATTGGCCTGGAGGGGAAAAAAAAAAAAAGAGAAAATCCAACGTTTGCCAACATCCAAATAGACAGCTTGTACTAAGTGAGTTCCATGTCACTTTGATTATAATTCATCTGTGTTTTTCTCCCCGGACTGCCCTACTGCGTACCTAAGAGTCATTCTGAAGGGATGCTGTGGCCGGCATGTCTGATGGAATGGGGTACCTGTCAGAGGGGGCAAAATATTTCAGTAGCTCAAGCAGATGCTTGCTTGCTGAGTCGGGGAAATCCAAGGTTGTGTTGGGAAGACAGCTCGACCAGACACCCCGTGTGAGTGAGTGCTCAGGCGGGTAGGAACCCTTGGGGGAATTCCCTGCCTTCCTCTCTGAGGAACTTAGCACCAAGGCCCAGGGACTACTTGGTACAGAGAGTTGGATTCTAAAAAGGGCCTCTCCGCATTTGATGGCCTATCTGGTGGGAGAAATCCTCAATAATGTGTGCTTTTTTTCACAGGGAGATTTCTTTATCTCAGCTTCCTTTCTGCAGGCTCCCCAAGCTGAGCCATAGTGCCAGGACTTTCTGGATATGTGTTCATCTCATTGTCAGTACTGGTGTCTGTGATTCAATTCAGGTGTGCTACACACTCACCACTGTGTACTCCTGCCCATCCCTCGGGGGCCCCCTGCTCTCCGTCCTGAGGCGTGGCCATGACCTGTGTGTGTGTGTGTCTTGCAGCACCTCTGACACCCCTAGCCTGCAGTGTTGTTACCACATGTGTTTCGAGTCAGACCTGTGTGCTATATAAAGCATGTACTGCAAACACTGTAACTTCCTCAAGTGCACACATCACGTGTCCTGGGAAGGCCGTCCTCCCTTGGACACCGGAACCCACTATGCCAAATGATCAAGGCTGACCTTTAGCAGTGCCCTGTTCATGTACCCATGTTTTTAAGGCATCATTTCCTAAAATATCAAATAGACATCTGGAGATTATACCAGAAAAAAAGTGCTTAGTTCTAGGTCTCTGTTTGGTGGCCCATGAGAACATTTCTAAGAACATTCCACTGGTTATGCAGTGAAACTAGCTATCTCTTTAGAACATGTACATTGGTCACACTGACATTCTTTAACCAAGAACATAACGTAAACGGGTTGGACAGGACCTTAGAGATATTCAGTCCAACTTTCTAATGCTCTAGATTGGCACAGCCCGATACACTAGCCACTGCCCACCTGGCAGTTAAGCAGCTGAAATGTGACTAGTCCAAATGGAGATGTGTAATCAGTGGAAAATACATACCAATGTCAAAGACTGTGCTACCAAAAACATGTAAAATGTCTCAATCTTTTTATATTGATGACATGAGCATATTTGGATAAATTGAGTTACATAAACTGTATGTTTGATTTTCATGTTTCTTTTTGCTTTTTCTAAATGTAGTTACTAGGAAATTTAAGATTATGTAAGTGGTTTGCATTTTATTTCTATCAGACTGTACTAGTCTAGAGCATCCCTGACAGATGGCCACACCATTTTTTTGGGGGGGGATGGTTTTAATCATAAGAAAACTCGTATCTAATAAGATCACATGTCTTAAGGTTTAAGAAGGTATATTTAACATCAGATTAATGGTGAGTTTCTAAGAATACTGGTTTCTATTTAGTTGATAAATGGTTTCTTTAGATTGAAAGAACAAACCAAATACTACCAACTCTCAGGAAGTACACCTCACATATCCAAAAAGTATTACAACCAATAATGTTAATTTACAAAGCTATAAAATCTGAACCATTGCTTAGCAATAAAATCAGATGATACTTAAGTATCTCAATCCATTAGAGCTTTCCATTTGGGACATCTGGTATATCACAGATCTGCACATATAGGACACATACATATAACTGAGACCTTAAAGATGCAAGTCCCTCTTCTAAAAGCCATTGTTGATATGGAGGCAGAATCATCCACTGGACATGAGAAGCAATGAGATGGAACCAAGTCCCACAAGCTTGGCTGTGTTTATTTCCAGGAGCCAGAGGTTAGTGAATTAAAAAGCGTGCAGTCCTCTAACCATGGCATCTACCTTCCTCCGGACACCCAGGAGCATGCGGGATCTGGGAGGGCATCCTCTATGCCACGCCTGACTGTGGATCCCCAGGTAAAAAGCAACCACCATCTACCACATGCAGTGGCCTCCTGGGCTGTATTCAAATGGTGGGTTATGAAAAAACATCTGATATTTTCAGGTGAGCCCTTGACTTGCCCTGCCCCTTCCCTCTAAGCAACACCTGGCTCGTGGGCCTTCTCTGTAGAGCCTACTCCTCCCTGTGTTCTTTCACTCAAGCCCTAACCTCAGCAGCCTAGCCAGCAGGATGCCATAACCTTCTCCAGATGGGCCCAATATCCTCAAGACTCAACCAGCCATGCAAGAACTATTTCCCAGAATTTTCCCTGTAGATTTCTCCTTCCTTTTTTTCCTTTCCTTGCTCCTCAAGCACATACGTAGTTACTTACACATAGCTCTGTGTCAGGACTGTCTGTCCTAACCAGTGCAGGCCATGCCTCATTTCTTTGTCTGTTCTGGCTTCTTTTTTTCTGTCTGTCTGTCTTACATTAAGTTTTGACAGAGACAAGAAGTTTCTGTGGATTTGTTTTAACATCTGTGGCAAATCAAAAATGCCCAGGGCGGGGCTGGGGTGAGATAGATGATAGAGTGAGAGCAATGCATTCTTAGTAGCTGCTTCATTATGAGCTCTCCTAAGCTCTAGCCCTGCAGGGCAGGGCTGGCAAGGGCGAAAAACAAAAGCTGTGCTTCTTTCATGGTGCAGACATTTTGACAATTGCCCTCACCTATTTCCAAGTGGCCCAAGGTTCACTGCTTGCACAGCACACTCAGCTGCTTGCTTTCCTGAGCCCTGGACCAGCCCCAGTGACATAAAGGCATAACATAAAGGTACTTTCTAGAACAGCCTTCTCCAGCTAAGGTCTGAGCAATAGGGAATCCAGGGAGGTTACAATCTGCAATCGTCAACAATCCCAGTCCCACTTCTTTCTTACCATTAGATCCTTTCGGTCATTAATCCATGCCTTGTGTTCCTCTGGTGGCTCCTGTTTCCAGGTGGCAACAGACTCCAGCTCCATGAGACGTTCATTTTCCACTATTCGGGATAAGCGTTCCAATTCCTCATGGTTGGAGGAATTCTCCATGGAGCGAAGCAGTGAAAACACTTACAAGTCACGTCGCCGGAGTTACCACTCCTCCCTGCGGCTGTCAGCCCATCGCCTGAACTCGGACTCAGGTAAGGAGGTCTTCACTGTTCACCTTTTGGGCTCCTGCCCTGATAGGCTGATTCTGGCAAGGGCTGAAAATCTCTGGTACAGAATTCAGAGAAGAGCTGAGGACAGTGAAGGAAGGAAGAATGCTCCTTACCAAAGGGGTCAGGGGAAGGGTTCCATATCTGACTCACACCCTGCAACAGGCCAGAACCCACCATATTTATCGCAGAGGCCAAGGAGACATCTTCCTTCCAGAGACAGGCCATAGACATCATTAGAATTGAGATTCTCAGATGGCCTTCTGCAGAACCATCGGGGTTCCTTAGGAACACTTCAACCCAAATAGTACTACCTGGAATGGTTTTACATATTGGGGTTTTGTTTTGTGTTTACTAGATGAAGAAACAAAGATAAAGAACGCAGGGACCTGCTCCATACCGCAGGGCCAGTAAGTGGCAGAACTGGGCCTGGGACTGAAGTTCTTTGACTTCAGTCCCAGGGTTCTCACCTTGCCATTATGTTAGCTGTGCCATAGAAGTTCACAGCAACTTCTTAATTCCCTTCTACCGGTGCCATCTTACCCCTCAAAAGGTACACACCCATGTTTAGGACATAGAGAATTCCTGGGCCATATTATTGGCAAAGATTCCAAACTGTGTCTTAGTATAAATGGAAGAGAATTGATTATGTCCTTTAACGGGCATGTCTTCCCAGTGCCAGCCTGCACATGCCCCTCATCACACAAGGTTAATTCTTGGCTTTGCCCTCCTGCCTCCCTTTGAGATCACCTGTTGACATGCGTGGAGAAGCCAGGATCTTTAGGGGCCCAGGCTCAAAGGCTTCCTTTTCAGCAGCCAGTCGGGGCGGAGTTGTGATCGGTTGCTTTTGTCATCTCTCACAGGCCACAAGTCCGACACGCACCGCTCAGGGGGCAGAGAACGAGGACGATCGAAAGAGCGAAAGCATCTTCTCTCCCCCGATGTCTCCCGCTGCAACTCAGAGGAGAGAGGGACCCAGGCCGACTGGGAGTCCCCAGAGCGCCGTCAGTCCAGGTCTCCCAGTGAGGGCAGGTCACAGACCCCCAACAGACAGGTGAGCATGGAGAGGAAGCTGAGCCTTTGCAGAAAGACAGGGAAGGGTGGTCTGTGAACATGAGGTGCAAAATGGGGCCGTCCAGCACCCCCACAGAACTCAGGTTCACAGAAAACAACCGCCATTGTGCATAATAGAACTTAGCTACTTATCGCTTCTGAGTACACAGCATTATGAATTTGTAGAAACCCAGACAGTCCCCCACAAAAGACAGAGGTGGCTGGAGGTCTTCCACCCTGGTCCTCAGGGTGCTGAGGTACAAAGTCACAGCAAACAACTTCACAAATGTCTCAGCAAGATTGAGGAGGAAAGGATGGCCTTTTAGCCTGAAAATGTTCTGGGCTCCATGGCGTGACCCTTCCTACTAGTTGGAATGGTGGTTCACCTCTCAGCACAGGCTTCCTAAGGCAGATGGACTCGTTTACCGAGCTTCTAGCCACCCCAAGAGGAAGACCATCTGTGTCCTTCTGGCCTGTTGCTGAAACACCAGCCTGTGCCTACGAAACTGCCAGAGTCGTGTGAACGCATTCTCTGGGCCTGCTTTCCTCCTCGTGACCGCCCCTCATGCCATCCCTCCCTCTCCTCAAGGCTCTCAGCCCAGACGGGAGACCCGATCAACAGCAACGAGTCATGGGGATGAGGAGGGGTGGCTGGGACTTTTGGAGACCGAGGCGGTTGGAAAGTTGACTCCTAAAGCCATAGTTTTCAAGGTTTAATGCAGAACAGCCTCACCTGTGGCTTGTTAAAACTGCACATTTCTGGGACCCCAAGGATTCTGTGTCAGTAGTGAACCCCAGAATTCTGCATTTGGAACGACCCTTCCTCAGGAGATTTCGGGCAGTTGGCACCTCAAGAAACTGGCCTGAAGGTCCCTTTACCACCACCTGGGCTCAGGGACACCCTGGGGAATAGGTGAGGTCAGGTAAGGCCTTGGGTTGCAGAAACTGAGTTCACCTCGGCGAGCCACTGATGCCATGGAGGCAGAAGGGGACGCGAGGGAAGGTGTCTGCCATTCCCTCCCCCACACCCAAAAGAGCAGCTTCAGAGGCTGCGTTTAACTTCCACACAGTTGTTTTTCTATCAATGCACCACTTGTTACAGACAGAACTTCCAGATCGGCAGCACCTGCGAGCTTGTTAGAAATGCAGTTTCAGGCCTCACCTCAGCCCATATCCATAGTCTAATGAGACTCCCAGAAAACCATAACCATGTTCAGAGTTGCCATGCCCCAGTCTCGATGGTGTTGACTTCTTACTCTTCTATAATCCCTGAGTGGATGTGACTTGTAGCCGAGGGACCCCAGCTGAGACCCCCCCCTCCAGAATTCAGACCCCCAGGGCTCTCTGTGCACAGGGTCCCAAGCGGGGATCCTGCTAACCCCCGTCTCACATGCCATGTCTCTCCTGCTCTGTCCAGGGCACAGGCTCCTTGAGTGAAAGCTCCATCCCCTCCATGTCTGACACCAGCACCCCAAGAAGAAGTCGTCGGCAGCTCCCCGCAGTCCCTCCAAAGCCTCGGCCCCTCCTTTCCTACAGCTCCCTGATTCGACATGCGGGGAGCACCTCTCCCCCAGCCGATGGAAGTGAGGGCGGCTCCCCGTTGACCTCCCAAGCCCTGGAGAGCAATGACGCTGCTGGCTTGCCCGAGGCTTCCAGCTCCCGGCACACACGGCAGGGCCAGCACCCTTCCCCACAGCGCTACATCTCCGAGCCCTACCTGGCCCTGCACGAAGACTCCCACGCCTCAGACTGTGGCGAGGAGGAGACGCTCACCTTCGAAGCAGCCGTGGCCACCAGCCTGGGCCGTGCCAACACCATCAGCTCAGCCCCGCCCCTGCGGCACAGCTGGCAGATGCCCAATGGGCACTATCGGCGGCGGCGGCGTGGGGGGCCGGGGCCAGGCATGATGTGTGGAGCTGTCAGCGACCTCCTGAGTGACACGGAAGAAGATGACAAATGCTAGAGGCTGCTCCCCCCTCCGATGCATGCTCTTCTCTCTCACGGAGAAATCCAAGACCGAACTGGGAAGCCAGTGCGGCCCGGGGGGGAGGAAGAGGGAGGAAGAAGGTGGAAGAACACCGTGCGTTATCAGACAAGAGGAAGGAAAGGACAAAAAGGCAAACCAGTCAAACCCACCAACTTGCAAGATGGGCATTGCCATAGTTCTGCCTCTTTGCTGGGGAAAGAAACTACCAGAACATGGAGGGTTGTTCCCAGGGGAGAGGGGACAGCAGTATGGCTCTGCTGCCACTGCCCCTTCCCACTTTTCTAAAAGCTGTGGAGGAGTCGAGCCGGCCTGTGTGTACACCCATTGCCCTGCAAGGTCTGGAAGACTTGCTGCCTCTTAACTGGGGAGCCATGGAGACCACAGGAGAAGTCTCCTTCCTCCCTCGCCAGCACCATTGCCACTGGGCCAGCTGCAGCAGCCTCCCGTGCGTCACCCTGTGGCTTGCTTCCCCAAAGAAGCACAGACTATGTTCAGGAGTGTCCGATGCCAAGGGTAGGGGCAGGGAGTGGGGGAAAGCTGACATGGAGGGGGTCAGGGTGCTGTGGCGGCAGCAGCAGCAGCAGCAAGGGCTGGTCTGGATGAGCAAAGCCATAGCCCAGCAGCCCACACTGTGGAGGAGAGAGCCAAAGAAGCAGAGAACTGGTGGTGCTGGTGGGTACAGGCCTGTCACCCACACAGTAGGTGCTTTGAGTGTTAGAATAAGCTAAGGAGGTCCCCCAGGGTCCACAGATGCGCCTGAGGCTCTGGTAAGGGTGATATTTTCAAAGCCTTGACCACCCATATGGCCAGGGCACCAGCTGATGAGAATGGAGTCCAGCCTTGGTGCTGGAGGCCCGTGCTGTGTCACGCGGAGCCCTGAGGGAGGGATCAGTGTGACAGGGGCACTCAGGGGACTCAAGGCAGAGTCTGTGTTTCAACCAGCACAGAAGTAACTCAACATGGGGAACAGTGCTGCGGCAGCACATACTGGCCAGAAATCAGCCCGGACCCTGGTCCCGGAGGTAGCGGGCCTCTCTGCCCAGCAGCGAGGCCAGTGCTGTGTCAGGGGCCCAGTTGTCCCTGCCCCTCCCCAGAGAGGACAGCATATCCAGAGTGGGCCACACATCCGCTAGTGGGGACTGCTGGAGAGGTGACAGATTGAAATAAAAGCAGCTTTGATAAGAGTCGGTCGGAGTTCACTGAGGACCTCCTGCGAGGAGGGACCCTCAGTCCAGAGCTCCTACAGCTGGTTGGTGGTTGAGGGTCAGTGCATCAGGAAATGTCAGTAAATATACCTCAGCTTAGACCTGGGCTGGTCCTTCTAGCAAAGCAGGCTCTGATGGGGCCTTGTCACGTTGTGTGACAAGACTGGGGCCCTGAATATATTTCTCTGGGCCAGGACTGTGCTTTACCCCTCCCCAGAGTAAAAGCTGAGCAGAAGACCGCCTCAGGCTATCCCTTGAAACTCAGAAGCATTGAGAAAAAGAGCCCTTAACTTGGCGAATCGGTGTTTCTTTAGTAGACTTGTCCGGCAGGACACATCCTTGTCTTTCTCTGGTAGAAATGTCCCATCCCCTTAAGTCCCTCCCCAGTCCCCCAGCACCATCGCAGGATCCCCTGGAGCGAAGGGCCAGGCAGGGCCCACCTTTCCCAGCCAGGAGCTCATGGAGCCTGCTTCCCAGAACCCTCCCTGGGACAACCCAGAAGCCTCTGGACTGAGATCACAGTGGATCAACACGTTTCTCCTCCTCCAGCCCAGACTCCGCCTCTTAGGTAGGAGCAGTCGGTGGCTGTTATTTTTCTTATGAACTTTTGCTTTTTTGTTTTTTTCGTTGAAATAAGGCATTGCCACATCAGCTCTGAAAAGCCAGACCCGACCCTGTGGCTGCAGATTCATTTGTCATGACCCTGCCTTCTCTTCTAGATATTAATGGAGCCTTGTGACCCTCAGCCCATCCCGAAACCAAAGTAGTCCCAGGGCGGGAGAAGCAGTGAGGCAGAGAGGAAGCCCCCACTCCCCCACCCTCAGACTCTCTTCCATTTTCCTCTCCCGCTAGGCCGTAGCTGGGCATGTGACCATGACTCGACAACACCCCAATCCTCACAGGCATGATTGTTACATAAGACTCTGACGCTAGGCCTTGGATCCTAAAGGTTCCCTCTGCTCAGCGTCATTTCGTGCCAAAGTGTTGCTATGGGCAGCTTTGTGTGCACAAATTTGCTTTCTTCCACCTCGGAAACGCAGCTTGCCCTATGGACAGGCCTACAACAGGACGGCCATTCTGCACCAATGAGCCTATTGCTTTGTTTTGAGAAAGGGAATTGAAGTGATAACCTTGAGCCATTTCCACAGTAGGAGAAATTCAGGCTGGCAGAGCATTTACCGGAAATGGAATCTACCTACAAACAACATTGCAAACACTAAATGTACTGTGTCCAGGAAACCTTCCTGTTTCCTGGACACCGGGACACCTTACACAAGCATGCCTTTGAGTCCTGAGTGGCAGAAAGCAGACACGGTCCTCTGACCAATCACCTGGGTTTTTTAAGTTCCAGTAAACTCATGAACTCTTTTATTCAGCTTCCCCTGACCAAGAAATCAGGTTTCTCATCCCTTAGCCTGCATTTTCCCTTCTAGTAATACCAGAAAATAAAAGAATTTTCTGCAAAGTCACAGAACTCATTATCATAATCATCTTCTAATGGTTTCCTTCTGCCTCTGGTTAAACGTGAACTCCAACTTCCCTTGAATTGCTGGTCAGGATAGTCCTTCCTAGGGATCAGATTCTGCCTCTTCTTTTTCCCTTGAAGAGGCCCCTTTAGATCCCAAAACCCTTGCTTCCATTTGGAGTAAAAATCATGGCAGTAGCTTGAGGACCCCCAAGCAAAAGAGGATGACTACTACCAGTGCTGAGATACACAGCATGATACATTTAGCACTGGAGGTCCCTTCAAAAGAATCGTTAGCCATATGTCAAGTTTCCCAAGCTAAGCTTTGTCCTCAGCATCTCCTAACACAAGAGAGATTAGGAGAGTGTGTGCGTGTGGTCCAAAACTACCAGGCAGCCTTCAGGCATGAACTCTAGACCCCAGATCACAGTTCCCTCTTAGCCACGGTCAGGAAAGTAGGGGTGGTGCCCTTGAGTGTCCCCAAGGCTCAATATGAGCCATCAACACAATTGTCCGATGTGGCCTATCTATCGATTCTTCCAGCTGAAGAATCTGTTTCTGTTGTGGGCTTCCCCGCTCCCCTGCAGGGCCCTGAGATCGCAGAGAACTTTTCTCTGAAGCTGAGCTCCAGATGTTCAGGATTTTGAATGCCCTGGACTCTCAGGCCACATGGGAAGACCCCATATTCCATAGCTCTGCCAGCATCTCCCTTCCCTACCACATCCTCCCCACACAGAGCCAGTGCGAAGCACCCCAGTGCCCCACGTTCTCCATTCCAGCCCTTGTTTTGCTGCATGTTAACATTGACTCAGCTCCTAAAATGGCTAATTCCATCCAATCCAGGATTATTTGCTGACCCGCCTGCCTGCCTTTGCTATACTCCCTGCGATTGGAGAATACTTCATTCTCACAATATACAGTTGGGAACTCATCAGGTGATATTCACAAGATGACTTGGAATGACCTAAGGTGCAGGACTGTTGGGGGTGTGTCTGAAAAGTCCACATGCTCAATGAAAGCCCACTGCAGGGAAATTAGGTTTCTCCTGGCATAAGGGAACACAATTTAATAATTTTGGTCTCTTAAAAAAGTTCTCCATTTTTCATTACATCTTATGTCTAAAGCCTGCTCTGGATGTCTCATTTTGGGACAAACTATTTCTTTAGTGGGTCAAGCCAGGGATAAATTGAGAGATTCTTTAATTTCTCAGCCTAGTTATAATATATGAATATTGTGAGGTTGTATTTTTTAAAAAGCATATATATGGCAGGGAAGGATTTTGTGAGACTTGACCGTGAAGGAACTTCCACTGCTATTTTTGTCACCTTTTATGTGTGTTATGTTTTGAGACCCTCAAAGGGCTGGCCTATACTATCCTCACTTAGTTTTCTCACCCATCCTGTCTGTCCTTCCC